CGGGGCTGAACACGGACAAGAAGAGCAGCACCCGCCGTGTCCCCAGGGACCCTGCCTGAGATGCAGCTGGGGACCATCCAGGGCCCCATCCTGCACCACAAGGGTCCTCCCAGAGCATCGCTTGCAGCCTGGTCCCCCTGCTCTGCTGCTCCCCCTCCATCCCTGCCTTTTGCCAGCCCGAGGATGAGAAAAAAACCACCTCCGAGAGCTGTCTCACACCCGGGTTTATGCCCTGGACACAAACACCTTGTGTACCCACCATACAGAGATCTTTTATATGGATATATATATTTTTTTTTTTTAATTCCATGGCTTTACGTTCCACACAGTTGAACAGCGTCCAGAGGAGGAAGAACAAAGACTGGGGAGGGGGTAGGAAAGGAGATGGAGGAGGAACATCTCAGGGCTGCTTTGGTTATTCCCGTGCTGCTCAGGTTTTGCCGTCGTCGGGGATTCAGCGCTGGGGAGGGGGCGACGAGCCGCCCTGGGGGGCTGTAAGGCTGCGGATAAATCCGGGAAAAGCCAACACCAGAGAGCAGCAGGACCTCCCCTGCAGAGTGCAATTCAAAGGGGTAATTAATACTGCAGAGGGGCAGGGGGAGCGGGTCGGTCTCTTGGGACCAGAAGCGGTCCAGCACCACCCCTCCCGTGGGGAGGGTCAGCACCTCTCCCCGGGGTCCGGGGGGAAACCAACCCCTGGGGTCAGAGGGAGTCGACAGGATCCTGCAAAGACGAGGAGAGGGCCAGGAACGGCTTGGGGCGAGGAGGGATCTGTCCCCACCTTGGGGACACGGGGGACGGGTGGCCCTGGAAGCAGCAGCAGAGGATGGAGGTGGGGGGCGAGGGCAGGTCCCCCTCCCCGCAGGGTTTTTTCCAAGGTGCCACCTTTCCAAAAGGTTTCCTGCTCCTCGCGTCGTGGGGTTTTTTTTCAGGGAATAAAGTCTCAGGGGACAATTGGTTCCATCAGCAGCTGGGCCAGGAGGGGAGGCAGGGAGCCCAGGCAGCAAAAATTTCCTGGATGAAATTTCCAGTGGCCTCCTGAAGAGGCGAGGAGCCCTCGAACGTCAAGTTCAAGACAACAGCACGTAGCTCCTGGCTTGGAGATGGGGCGGGCGAGGAGGAGGAGGAGGAGGAAGGCAGGAGGAAGCATGTGCAGGGCTCAGCCCATGGGGAGCCGGCGGCTGGGCTTTTAGGAATTGCTCTTGTCGAATCAAAAGGAAAAAAAAAAAAAAAACCACAAATTAAAATTCATCACCATTAGTGTTGCCAAAGCCCCACAGGGGTAGATGTCCGAGGTGCATAGTCAAGGCTTCGTCTCACCACGGCCGGGGAAGGAGAAGGGAGGAGGACACAAAGTGCTTTAATCACCGGGGAGAAAGCGCTCGGAGAGGAGAGGCAGGAAAGCAACCCAGGCGCGGGGGCTGAGCGAGCAGCGCCGATAAACCGGGGGTGCAGGATGTGACCCCCCCTCAGCCTCCTTGCTGCCAGTCAGCAAGTCTCGCCTGCGCCACCCTCAGCACTTCTTCTTGAGGACGTCCTGGAGATAACGGGCGACTTCTGCGGCCGATTCCCAAGGGACGACGGTGGCCCGGAAGGCTCCAGGCTGCTGCTTCTCCATCTCCTGGATGAGGCGGTGCATGGGGTAACCCTTCCGCCTCCCGCGGGAACGCCACATCCGCCGACGTCAAAGTGGCGGAGGGGCAGAAGTCATTGGCACCGTCTCCCACGTAGAAGAGCCTCTGGAACTCCACCTCCTCCTGCGCTCTCTCCGCCAGGTATTCCGTCAGGATTTTGC